TCGTCGCCTGAAAATTTTTACGAATCCCACGGGACATCTTTTCAGTGTAGATGGACGATTTCCCTTATAGGGAAGATGTAGTGTTTGTAGTTTGGAAACCCCAAATACCAGTGCAAAGACACACTGCCACTAAGTGAGCACACTAAAGAGTATTCTTGTGGATATTTTTTATAAAATATATTTAAATTTGAAAATACACTGAAAGTTGATAGGAAGATTCATGTCACTTATATAGCCACTTTTTACAGTGTCGGCTTTGCAATCGGGTGAAAAGAAGCTCCTTCAAAAGCCGGCATCCTGACTGACTGGAAATATTTTGTGATTATGCTCCGCGACGGTTGACCTTACGACCCTACTTAAGTAGTCACTTCTATTCGGGGGCACATTTCGGAATTTCGGTTTACATTTCATGAGGTAGCACGTCTACTGCATATAAGTTGGAAGTGCGCTCACGGATCTGGTTGTGGTACGTACTTGTACGGTTGTGCTTTGGGGCTTCAGCTAGAGCCTCACAGGCAATTGCATTCCGTGAGAACGATCGGCGAGTCACCTCTACCATTGTTTATTCCCGATCAAAACCGACAGGGCGACGGGAATGTGGCCTAATAGTTAGAGGAGTTGGACTTCTACCTAACAGGTCGCAAGTTGGAGCCCCAGGTGCGCCAAACTTCGGGGTTGGGTACGACTGGCTGACGATGGCTAATAAGCCGGAAATGGTCATTCCAGTCTCCCTTGTCATTGTCGGTAACAACATTCTGCCTATATCATGCGCCGCTGGGCGGTTGCTGGTTGAGCTCGAGAGAGAACTCGTAAGGCAGGAAGAAAAGAGCGAGTTCCGTAAGAAAGATCGGTGAGCTCCCCTCTACCATAATATATTAATATAAGTGTGTCCTGCAAAAAATAATTTCTGAAATTATTCGCCTTATTATTCTCTGTGGTTCATATACCCCAAACCACATAGCGGACGCTGGGGGACCCACTGAGGAGCTGGACCCTCTCTCAGCTGCCTCATGCAGCGGAAGAAACACCGGCGAAACACCTGTCTTAACTTTTAGCTGGTGCTTATGTCGGGAAAACGGTATAACCATCTGTCATATAAAATCATACTGCTAATAGCACTTTTTGTTTATAGGGTGGGTATTACGTGGTTATTCCACAGTAGTTTATTATCTTCGACCCAAATGTTCATCAACCTTCGAGTCTGATCTTAAGAAATTCATGTCGAGGACACTTAGCTCCATGTCCTGCAATTAATAATTTCCGAAATTATTATTTTGATATATTCATGCATGTATACAGAGGAGAGAACGATTAGTGCAGCAGGATTTTTGATTGGCTGAACTGAACCACGATTTGCCTTTGAGAAGGCGAGGGTAATTGGTCGAGCCAATGATAAGATGGCCAGACTGGTGCTCGAAAGTTGGTCCTCGACTGGCACACTCAACTGAGCTATAGATCTACATCCCGCCTACCAAGCGCTGCGTACAAGGCTCGGATCAGTCCGGACAGGACCAGTAAGGCAAGCGAGCACGCGGGATCGAGAGTCAACGCTCACGGAAAAGAGCGCAGTTGGGGGCCAGAGGTCGTGTGACCAAAGCCGAACACTGTCTCACCGATGCGCCCGCGAAACTGAATGCTGCTCACCTGAACAGCGACGACCGATCAGTCCACCGGCTGACGTGGGAGTGGCCAAGCGGCACGTTGATTTGCCTACAATTACGCCGATCCCAAAGGGAACAAATGTCACGCAGGCCTGTCAGCAGTCAACCCGGGGGGGAGGAGGTCTAAGCTATTCAGCGGCAAATTGGCAGGTCAAAGTTCGTGCGTCGAGCACGACTATAATACGAGGCAAGCGGCAAGATTGAACAACTCAAGACCGGCAGGTGCAACAAGTACGCCACTCTGATGATGGAAACGGGGAAATTTCCAAAAAGTCAGTTCGAATACAATATGGTCCATGAATTCGCCCTCTCTTCTTCTTCGTCTTCTTCGGGAGATGATGGACGCGATATACATCTGTATATATCAGTGTGCACCATGTATATCCATGTAATAGATTTAGAAATTATTAAGTTCAGGACATGGAGTTAAATGCCCAGAGCACAACCTTTTATGGTCAGACCCGAAATGTCAACGAACATATATGTATATGGGCAAAATAATGCTACCGGAAAGACAAGGAGACTGTAATAGCCGTTTCTGGCCTCCTAGCCCTCGTTAGTTGGGTATGCCCGACCTCAGGTCTTGCAATCTCTCTGACCTAAACCTTAGCCTTGTTGGCTAGAAGTCCAACGTCCCAACCACTGGGGCACACTCGACCCGTAAACATCTAGCTTGGAAAACGACATCGCTTCTGACAACAAGGCACTCATTTCCGTTCCCGACGATGATGGATTTCTGCCTGCTGAAGATACGCACGGCTGTGCGATTGAGATTCACGGACACAGTACTTGATACAAATCAAATCTGATGTTTTTTATGCGTCACTATCTTCAAAGGTGCCTTTAGCGGTAGGCGGTATGACTACGAGCAAAACGAAATCATGAATTATGTTTCACGCAAGCTGTCTTGCCAGGCACAGCTGCAGGGGCAGGTGGAATGGAAGGGGCGAAGAGATTGTCCTAAGCGATAGCTGTTCCCACCACGGCAGTAATTACTCACTGCTGTCCCGAGAGTAAAGATAACATCGGTCTTTTAACAACTTGAGTGCTTTTTAGCTTGCAGGCGGGTGACAGTTAAAGTTCAGGCTTATGATGGCGTAGCTACGCGCAGTCAGTAGTGGCTCATTCAGTCGCCCAAACAGTGCGTAAGACAGACTGTTCATAGGTCGGCAGCACTCCTCATCCGAAATCCTGGCCCCGGTGCGGTCACTCCCTCGATTCGCCAATCAGGGAGCGGCATTCGAGCAGGCAGAAGAAGTCCACATGCATATGGAAGACAGAGCCCACACGGTATTGAACAGGTGG